CCACATGACTGCCAAGCCACTCCCACCTGGCCACATGACTGACAAGCCACTCCCACCCAGTCACATGGCTGACAAGCCACTCCCACAAAACAGGCCACACCTACAGAAGAGGGTGCAAAAAAATTTGAAACTTACCACTGGTTCACAGAGATATTGAGTCTAAATTTGGTGTCTTAGCTTTATGACTCTTTTGTTTTTGCTATATATTAATATATTTTTGTTATATTATGTATATTTATAAAATTCAAGAATGTCCATTAGAAGTAGTATGCTCTCTTTCAGTGTTCAATAGGCCCTAGAACAATATTTTCATTGCTAATACATATAATGCATATAAATGGTCTATTTGTGATGGACATGGTGGAACAAACCAATATAATTGGTACCAAGCTCTAGCATATATACTGAGTGGAAACAACATTATAATTTCCTCAGAATCCTATCTTGAAATGTCTGCATTCCCTTATCTACAGTGATACAAAACTCAGGTTTTGTGGAATAAAATGCAGGAAAATTGGTACAATACTATGTTAAATGTAGCAGTTAGTAGTTAAGACAGCTATTTTTATCTAACTCAATTCAAAGAAGAAAAACAGTTATTCATTTCTACCCAGCTGATCCTAAGTAAACTATAATATCTATTTAACCTTAAAGAATTCATATGGATGTGATTTGTTCCTGAAGCTGGGACTCTTTATTTTCCACAATAGATAATATTAATTCCCTAATGTTGTATAATTGCTCTGAACTCTTCTACTATTATTTACTGAGTTAAAACAATCAAACAAATATAAAACAAAATAAAACCTACCATTTCTCTCTTATCTTCTTGGAAATGTAGTTTTACAAATATTTTGCCAACAACATATGGGAGAGCACTTTCTACGAAGTTTACACATTTATCCCATCGAGGCACTAAAGATGCTGTTCCCTGGATTACCTGTGTGAGTTAAGATTGATATATTATGGTAAGTTCCAGTATAGCCTTTTCTGTAGCTGTGCAGAGCAACCCTACCCTCCTTGTCTTCTTAAAGGCCATTAAGACCTGGCTTTCCCCCATAAGCATTGGACCAGGGTGGGAGGTAAGCCCAGCATTTGTGTTTTTGTGATGGAAGCATTACAGTACTTGGTAATATGTAAGACTTTTTTATTTTCTGTGTTCTATTAATTGTTAGCCATTGTGAGTGAGTTTATATAATATAGTTGGGCATATAAAATGTTCAAATAACAAAAAAAAACTCTAAAGATTCCTTTAAAAAAATTGTTGTCAGGTTCCAAATCCCAATGAGATAGGAAAGGTTAGAAGTTCAATACACATTGACCTCTAGAAAAGCTTTTGGTTCAGGTGGGCTAGATCGAATTACAGTAGTTCATGAAATATGGGTATGAAATGCTGTTATTGATCTTATTGGCATGGATAACATGGATATTGATTTCTCATACTTACCCTTGAAAATTCTAGCCATCTATATTGAAAACGTCGACTGAGATTGAATATTCTTGAATAAACCATTCTCCATACCAGATAGTTGGCAATAGTCCTGTAANATTTTTGTCCTATGGCCCATTTTTAGTATCCTAAAGGTGTTTTGTGTTCCCATAAGTTTTTACCAGTGGTGGGATTCAAATAATTTAACAACCAGTTCTCTGCCCTAAAGACTGGCTGAGTAGGTGTGTCTGGGTGGTCAGGTGTCTGAATGAGTGTAGCCAACTCAACATCACTCAAAACCAGGGATGCCTCATCTCACCTGGCCTCTCCTTGCCATGCTCAGCCATCTCTCGTCCCTCCACTCAACTCCTTGTCATGCCCGGCCGCTCACCTAGCTGGAGCTAGTAGTTTTCAAATAAAAAGAATGCTTGCATTGTGCAAATAAATAACAAATATCTTCACTTCAGGTTTGATCCATCTTGCAAAGTATTACTGCTCATTCTAGTCTCCTTTCCTACTAACAGGTCCATCTCAGATTGTAATTTGCCACAACCTCTCTTGTCTTTTGCATCATTCTATTGAAGATTATTCTGAAATATTATCTGTGATGTTTGCAGCTTTACAAGTTTCTTTCCTCCAAGCCGGTTTTCGCATGCAATTATTTTGACATTCCTTCTTCCTTTTTAAACAAAGTAGTGGTTAAGGTGCTGGCCTAGAAACTAGTCCCATTTTAGGCTTAAAAAATGGCTGAGTGACTAGTCTCTCTCTCCCAGCCCAAACCACTTCTTAGATTGTGGTTGTGGGGAAACTAGGAGGAGGAAGGAATATTATATAAATCCTCCACCTTGAGTTCCTTATAAAGTAATAAAGACAGGATATACATCTAACAAAATAAATAAATCATTTGTGAGAATGATGTACTTCCAAAGTTTTTATCCACTTTTTTGCTTTATTCTTCAATGATGGCATAGCCTATGGAATTATTACCTGTGTCACATGCCAGGGTTATGTGGGAAAGCATCAGGTAAATACATCCATGTGACTAACAGTCAATGACAGAAGAAATCACTAAGTAGGTATATTAAGACAGAAAGGTGGAGGCATCGGGTGCAAAAAGCAGAGGGCCTCAGGGAGAAGAGAGCTGAGTCACCCACTTTTCATCAAACTTGCACAACCTAGCCAACTACAGAAAGGTAGGAAAGTCATCCATTCCTCTTTTATGTGCTCTTTCCATTGGAAATTTTCAGATTGTTTCAAACTGACAGGGCAAAATTGCCCCAGCTCTACAGAAAGGAGCTGCTCAGACTAATTGAAAGCCTGGGCATGCTGCCAAAAGCCATTAATGACTGTTACACTCTTACTTCCCCCTCCCCTTCCAGGATCCCCACAAGCCCCATTTTGCCTCCCAGGGGGGCTTCAGGAAGGCCTGCTAGGCCCAAAATAGGGCATGGTGGCACTATTTTAGCATGCCTAGTAAGCCTTCCTGAAGCCCACTGGGAGCAAAAACAGACTGTGGGAGGAGGGGCTTCAAGGGAGAAAGAAAGAAAGAAAGAAATCCTCACCATTTGGGGATCCACTGTGCATGGAGCAGAGGTGTTCAAACTTTGCAACTTTAAGACTTGTGGACTTCAACTCTCAGAACTCAGCTCTGCTGGCTGTAGTCTTAAAGTTGCCAAATTTGAAGACCTCTGGCATGGAGCTTGAGTTGAAAGCTTATTGAAAGTGCGGCTAGCTATCAGAGATGGGTTCCTACTGGTTCGCACCGGTCCAGTAGAAGCGGTTCATCAAATCTACCGTCAGCAGTGCTGGAAGGGAATGGGGTTGTGGGGAAAGGAGAAGGCAGAGAAGTAAAGGGACAGAAAAAGATAAGGAGGGCGAGGACTGTGGGATCCTTTGGTGTTCTCTGAACTTGGTGGTTTTCTTGCAGGCATCTCATTACCCAACCAGATGTCATCATCAGTGATAGAAAAATGAGGTATAGAGGGGGGAGGAGGAGGAGGAGGAGGAGGAGG